CGAAATCATCAGAGACGCACTGAGCGGGCTTACACGTGAGAAGGTGTTGATACCTGTGAATTGCAATGGGAGCCACTGGTGTGGAGTCATGATCGACCTTGAAGGCGGTACAGTGGAAGTGTACGATTCAAGCTCGTCTTCATACACGATGAGCGTGCGTGTATTGGCACAGACGTTGGTTCATTTGCTACCTACAAGTGTGCAAACGCCATTTCGTGTGCGAGTTTTTGATTCTGGACTTGGAGTTCAGACTGACAGCTACAACTGTGGAATCTACGTGTAGCTCGCATTTGAAATATTCTGTGGTGCTGAACCACTAGGATACGTGGACAAAAAAACACTGCAGTGCCTATGGTACCGCTATCTCCGTATGTGTCTGTAGGCTAGCTCTACTGCTAACTTTGAATACACGTTTTCTTTCATGCATACATTAGTATCCAATTCAGTCAATGCGTTTTGTGGTTGATTCTGCTTGCGTAAGTACAAGTGTAGCCTAGAACTTCGTGGTGCATGAACACTTCGGATATCCAGTTCCACGTTGACCAGCAATCCGGCTATACGTATACAAGCCAGGTCCCACTCTTTTCAGTTGGGCTTCATTCGTGCCCATTTGGGCGCAGGTTGGGGCTATTTGGTCACAATTGGGTGACACTTGGGTGCAATTGGCTCGTCTCAGATTTCTCAGTTGGGCGCAGCAGCATGTGCCATTTACTTTTCGGCTACCCTGATGCTGCGGCGATGCATATATATATATATAAGGTGCTGCGGTAGGGCTGCGGTAGGATGACATGCTGCGGTAGGGCTGCGGTAGGATGACATGCTGCGGCGGCGTTGAGGGGAGCTGCCTTAACGACTGAAGGAGCGTCGGTTGGATGTGCTGTGGCGAGTAGAGCTGCCGTGGTGGGAGGAGTTGCCTCGTCGACTGGAGTCATTGCGTCGGTTGGAGGTTCTGTGGTGAGTGGAGCTGCCGTGGCGAATTGAGCTGCTGTGTCGAGTGAAGGATCGGCATGGGGAGCTGTTGTCGAGGCTGTGGTGAGTTGAACTGCGCCGAGTTGAGGAGCTGTAGTGGGTGGGATCTGCCGATGGAGCGACAGGAGCGTCTTGGATTCCAAGTAGTTCGATTGCGCTACGCGTTTGCGATAACTGGCGAGTTTGCGACTCACCTGAAGCCACAGTAAAGGCGATGACCCACGCCGATGCTTCGTTGACTTGGGTTTCGCTAGCGGCTACTTTGGCGATGATGGATTCCTGGATGCGTGCCTCGTGAGCAGCGAGCTTTTCTTCAGCAACACCTGCAATCACATCGCGGAATACCAGCAGCGAAGACGTCACGCCTCCTGCCGCAGCCTCCACACGCTTGGCAAACTTCGTGAGGACGGTGTTTGGGAATACGCAGGAGTTGTCGAACGCCCGGATCAACCGGTTGACTTCCGCTCGGGCAGGTTTGTCATTTACGAAGTCATGTCGGCACGATACGCTCGCTCTCCACCAAAGTAGGTATGAAGATGCCATGATAACTCTTCATTCACCAATGTCGGAGGATATGAATTAGCGAAGTGGCTTTTGACGGAGGAAACGACATGTAAAAAGTGTGCAGGGCTCGAGTTACATTTACTAGCCTATTTCCCGAAGATTTCACAGAACGATTTCCAGTACATGTAGTGTTGGCGAACGTAGTGGACGGGCGTATTAGTTTAGGTTGCTTCCTCAGCTCAAGCACTGCAGTAAGTACCAACAAAACCCAATAGTTTATTGCTAAACTTTGGTAAGAATAGAAAACGACAACAACCTGCTTCGGTGATCGAAAGTGGTCACAGGCTGATCAAGTACTATTTTAGCGAAAGGTCTAACGATGCAATGAGCTGTTTGATATCATTCAAACACCGCACGGTGCTCATTAAAGCGAATCTAGTAAACCAAGATTCCTGTCAGTTATGCGCTGCCGCCACTGCCTTCGACACTCTCACTGCCTTCAAAGTCAAACTCCGTTAAGAATCGCCGAAGAAAAGGAACAGTCTCACTGCCGTCATCTTCAGCACTTTCACTGCCTTCACTACCTTCAACCTCTTGGAGGAAACGCTCGCCGTCTGTGCTCTCGCTATCGTCCACTTCGGCACTTTCGCTGCCCTCGACCTCGCTCAAGAAGCGATCGCCATCCACGCTGGCACTGCCTTCATCTTCGGCACTTTCGCTTCCTTCAACATCCTGAAGGAAACGCTCGCCGTCTGTGCTTTCGCTGGACTCGTCCACCGCACTTTCGCTGCCTTCCACTTCAACTAGGATGCGCTGACCCGCAAGACTGTCGCTACCCTCGTCGTTCGCTGCACTTTCACTGCCTTCGACCTCTACAAGAAATCGATCACCGTCGAAGCTTTCACTGGATTCGGCTGCAGCACTGTCACTTCCCTCCATTTCGACAAGGAATCGTTCGCCGTCCGAACTCTCGCTTGAGTCCACTTCAGCACTGTCGCTGCCTTCAAGCTCGAACAGAAAGCGCTCGCCTTCGGCGCTGTCACTGGAGTCGAAGCTGGCATCAAAGCTGGTCAAGAAACGCTCTTTGGTGTCTACGGTACGGAGACTGGCAGCGTTGACACCGTCGAAAGTGGCGAGTGCCAGGGCGGCGGCAGCAGCGAACCCGATGATGGTGTTCAACTTGGTCATTGAAGGTGGTGGTGAGTGTGTATGTGTAGTGAGTGACTTGACGGTCGAAGGCGAATTTGAAAATGTCTAATTGACCTCGTTGCTAGGAGCCCCTGCCTGCCTCTGCGTGCACATGACCGAAGGTGCTGATGAGGTAGATGCTTGAATTTGATTCACTTTTTGTTTTGGTGGAACAATCTCATCCGTAAAACGCGATGAAGGTGGTCCGTTTCTTAGGCAGAAATACCTCGATTGCAACCTTGAGTAGTGTATAGAGAATGCCATCGAAACTTCGCAACTGCAGGACAGTCGCAAGCCGAGAGAGCAAAAGTTTGCAAAACTCGTCCAGCGAAGCAAAATAGCTACTTTTAAGTTGTATCGTGGCCACGTGTGAGCTGGGAAGCCACCAACATCGCGAGGCATCTCATGCAGAAGAACTCTGTTGGCAACAACACAAATAGCTGGCATCATTATGCTATTTCCGGTACCACCAACATTTGATGATAGTGAAACATCCTTCCGACTTATTCTACCTACGAGCGAGAAGCAGCATGGTAGCGACTAGCTCCAACTCTACAGCAGCTCTAGTTCTGTGCAATTGTTGCGACCAGCTCCCCATGCCGAATTGCCTGCATGACATTTTCAGTCCTTCATGAATAAAGAATTGAGACCAAGTTGAAGTGATTTCATTCATGAAAATGAGAATATTTCCATGTTTCTATCCGCATACCCAATTTTCAATTTCCCGCCCATTTTCTATCG